TCTTATCTGATCACTTAAAGCTTAGCCTATATCAAATTAATTTTCCAATGGGTCACTCTCCAACATTGGATGTACTAATAGTATAATTCATTTATAGTTTGTTGAAGGTATTCCTCAGCTTTCTTCAAACCTACTTTGTGCACAGTTGCAGTACAGTTTCTTTGAAGAGAAGAGAAACTCCACCTACACTTCCCAAACTGTTCTTAAAGATATTGTTTAACTGAGATTTGGAATTGATGAAGTTTATTTTGTCTTAATTGAGGAGGGGGGGGGGTGGACTGAAGGAATTAAGGAAGAAATGGTTTAGCAGGAAATGTTTGATTTGTATTCCTTTCAAGTGAGTGAATGTCGAAAAGAAATGTTAAAACTGGATTTTTTTAAAAACAAGGTAAAATAATGAATGTAATAGAAGAATATAATTTGTATTTCTCAGTGTGATAATCCTGAGCAAAGAGATTTTTCACATTTGGTTTTAAAAGAACTTTAGTATTTATTTAATAGCAGTCATTCAGGTGTTATTTTCATCTAATATTAGCATTTCTTTCTAACCCTAATGACACAAAGAATGGTTTGAAATCCTGGAATTCAATCTAAAATACTTGTCTGAGAAACCAGACAATTCAATGGCAACCTTTTGCAGCTGTGCTCTTCTTGAAAGCATCAATTCCTGGATTTTTCCACTTCTCTTTGGGCTTTGAGTCTGATTGGGAAGTGAATTTATTCTATGTGAAAGAAATGCTTCTTCTATTGATTGACCTCTAAGTAAGGTTACCAAAATAAAGAAGAAATACAAGTGGATAACAAATGCTTCAATAAGAAGTGACCAGATTCTGTGATAAAATACCAACCAAGCTGGTCGAATACTGACTGGTTGGTCCCCTCAGCTTTACAATTTCTTTCAACTTAAAGAATCTGCCATTTGATTCAGTGAAACAATCCTCCCATAACATTGAACCTATCCCTGTATATCTTGCAGAGGGCACCTATAATAACTGGAAATGCTGTCAGCTAGAATTTTCTTACTTAATTGCCTCCAGGTGGACAGCTCCTGGGTTATAGATGCAGCCCCATAGAAGAATTGTTCACTTATGGGAGTTCTTCAAGCTTTGCAGAAGGGAAAAAATATTATCAGACATCTGCAAAGATAAGAAGTCAGCATACTCCTTATGCCTTGATGTCACTTGCAGACATATGCTCTGCTATTGCCATGTGGCACTCTCTCCTCCTATGAAGTTCATACTATGTGATGATGTCTTGCCTCTGTCTTTGCTTTTATCTTCATCTCTATACTGGTTCCTAGTCACCATTTTGCTTTTATCATCAATGACTTGATGAAGTGTTCTCCTTCCTAGCCTCTTGACAGTATTCTAGATCAGGAAGTTCTTAACCTTCTTTTGTGTCCTGAAAGGCTCTCTGGTGAAGCCTGTGGGCCCCCACATCAAAATAATGTTTTAAAATAAGTCAAATAAAATACAAAGGACTACAAAGGAAATCAATTATATTGAAATTGTTACAAGTTGTTTAAAAAAGTGTTCATGTACCCCAGCTTAAGAACCCCTATTCTACTGATCAGTTCAATGTTCAGAATCTCAGTGTTAGAAAAAAACCTAAGAGATCATCAAGTATAACCTTTATATAAATCTTAAATTTTTTCAAAATCCCCTAAAAGTGATCATCCAGTCTGTATTTAAATATCTTCAGTGAGGGAAAACTCACTATCTCCTATGGTAGCTGAATTATACAGCTTTTTAAGAGTTTATTTTTTTCCTTCTTTATCTCTAGCGTAAATCTCTCTACATATAACTTTTTCCATTTGCTCTTAGTCTTGCCTTTAGGGACCAAGAAGAACAAGTCTTATCCATCTTCCACACGTCAGCCTTTCAGATATTTGAAGGCAGTTATCACATCCCTTTTAAGCTATCTCTTCCCTAGGCTAACCATCCTGATTTCTTTCATTGGAGCATATTATGGTAGGGTCTCCAGTCCTCTCACCATCCTGGTTATTCTGTTTGTACTCCAGTTTGTCAATGGCCATCCTAAAATGTGGTAACCAGAACTACTCTTTCTTATTCAATCCAGATGTAGTATGACTAAAGCAGAGGATAAGGAGATTCTTAACAATTTTGTTCTGGATATTATTGCTCTCATACAACCCAAGTTAACATATGGGGGAATATAGGCAAAGACCACATAGGGAGTGAAGGAATGCATAGGTTGTGATTTGTTCTAGTGAAGGGATTAAGATCATGGGTCCATTGAATTATTGATGCATAAGCATAAAATTCTAAATTCTTAGAAAAAAACTAAATTGTACATTTAGAAGATGGAAGAAACCTGATATTTTTATCTGTTTCATAGTCCAACTTTTATAACTTTAGCCAAAGAGTTAATCACTTAGTGATTAACCTGCTGATAATAAGATTTTCTTTATTTAGGTGAGCTGGTCCAAGGACAATGGATAGTTTTTCATTGGGACTGTAATCCCAGTCTTTCTAGTTTGATAGACCTTTCATAGATTGTATTACACGTTAATAGCCTTTAATTGATTCAAGGATCAATTCCACACCTTGACAAGGTGGACTTTGTGAAGGATTATATATATATATGTCTATTAAATGTCACCTTATTGGATTTTGCCTAATTTTTTAGCTTCTCAATACAGCTTAGAAGCTTAATTTTCTTATCCACTGCATTAGTTATTCCTCTGAATTTTGTATCATCTGCAGATTTTAATAGCATGGTTTCTTTTGCCATCCAAATTTTGAAATTAAAAAATGTTGAATTGCATGGTGACAAGTAGCATACCATTGGTGACTTCTGTTCATTTTGATATTAACCCAACTCTCAGAACATTATAGTTAGAGTTGGCAGTTATGTGGTTCTGTGGATAGAGTGCTGGGTCTGGAGTTAGGAAGACCCAAGTTCAAATCTGGCCTCATATGCTTAATAGCTGTGTGACTTTGGGCAAATCACTTAACTACTGTTTGCCTCTGTTTCTCAACTATGAAATGGAAATAATAATAATAGTACCTACCTTCCAGGGTTGTTATGAGGCTTAAATGCAATAATATTTGTAAAGTACTTAGCACAGTATCTGGCACATAGTAGATACTTATAAATTCTAATTATTGTTAATGTTGTTATTGTTGAACCATCTAATACATGCAATTTTGCTATTATTTAGCCTATATTTTACATATTGTGCATAAGAATAATGATCCAAATATAGGTTATATGTTTCCTTCAAAGTCTGTCTTATACAAAATTTAAGTATGGTTTAAAATTGTTGAGATACACACACACACACACACACACACACACACACATCCTTTCAAAACATCTTATTTAAGGGCTACAGACTATGTTTAGTGATAGCCTAAATTCAGAACAATGTAGTGTTTGACTTTGTCAAGTGTCTTGACAACATTCAGACAGACAATCCCTGGCATTCTTCTAGTTAAGCATTCTATTAATCCTACACATAAAAAGATAGAAAATAATTTAAATATGACTTTGAGATGACTTGGGGAAATAGGATAATGGGTAATCAACATTATCCTTGAATAGTAGCTCAAGAGTTCATGGCTAAACATCAGGAGGAAAAGTTTGGTGACTGTTGTCTTGTGATTAAGTTTAGGGCCCCGCACAAGCTATTTAATGATGTGATTCCTTGACTGAGCTAGGGTAAGGCTACATCTTTATGAATGTAAGGAAATTCATTGCAAATGAATTTCAAAGTTGCAACTTTGTCTTAAAATCCTGTATATCTACATTGGTTAGTAAGTCAAGCAATAATGTTATTTACTGTGTACTTTACATTGTATTTTGTGCCGTATTTTTTAATGTTTTCTTTTCTACTGGATATTAAGTGCACTGAGGATAGGGACTGTCTTATTTGTATTTGTATTTCTTTCAGGGTATAATGTGACACCTTGCACACATAGTAGTGCTTAAAGAATGTATTCTTGAATGTTAATTTAATGCAAGCTCCTTTTTTTTGTCTTTCTAAGTATCAAAAAAATTGTCAGAAATCATAAGACAGCAATGTACATTAGAAATAGGTCTCGATTGCAAGCCCATAGAACCCGGACTTGTGTCTTGTCTGTACCATTTATACCTGGGTTCATTAGACAAGCTTCTTTCTATATGAGTTAACTCTCTGCCTGTTTCCTTATCAATAAAATTCGGGGGTTGGACTAAATCTCTCAGATTTCTTCTGTCTCTAGATCCTACATGATCCTAAACCCAAAGATGAAATCACCACAATTCTGGCCCTGGAAGAGCTTAGGTACATGTCAGGGATACAAGTGATGAATGTATATTAAAATGTGATGTATATATTGGAGCCATATGGAGAAAAGGATATGAGAGATTCAAAGAAAGATTATCTCTTATTGGCAAAATCAAGAAGGCTTTATAGTAAGTAGCCTCTAAACTGTTATATACAGAATGGGAAGGGTTTCAACCATCATGATACGAGGAAGGGCATTTTAGACATGAGCAATGATATAGAGGTACAAGAAGATAGAATGCTTTTAGGGAATAGAGGGATTAAGAATGTTGAACTAAATGATTCTAAAGTTCCATCCATATACTGGTCATGCCATCTTGTCTAGATGATCATTTGTATAACTGTTTGCTAATGAACAAGATAGTCCAGTGTGGAATTAATTTAATTTTTAATTTTTAAAAAGTGATATTTATAATGAGGTATCAATTTATTGAGTAGTTACTATAGACAAAGCTCTCTTCTAGGTGCTGGTACAAAATCTTAATAGAAATTTTCTTTACCTTTCATAAAGAAAATAAAAGTATTAGGGAAGTTATGGTTAAATACATCAGAAATTCTCACATTAGCTTGTGTCAACAACAGTATTGTAATAGTTCAAAATGCCTAGAGGAAAAATAAAGAAAAATAAATGCAAACTAACTAGTGTCTTTATTATTATTACTACTAATAATAATATCATTATTATTGTTATTTTCATTTTGGCTTATAGGAACGGCTCCTGATGAGTCTTTTGCCCAGAAATGTTGCCATGGAAATGAAGGAAGATTTTCTGAAGCCACCTGAGAGAATTTTTCACAAGATTTACATTCAAAGGCATGACAATGTCAGGTAGGATCAACCCTGCAAAAAAAAGATAACATTTAATACGCTTATACAAATACGCACTGAAAAGTACTGGTATGGAAATAGGAATGTTGAGAAGTGGGACGCTGAATTAGCTTAGCAGTTTAGAAGTCCTGTATTCATCAGATGAGAAGAGAGTCTATGATATCGTGTAGAGAAAATTTTGAAAGATCCATGCGGGTAGGCCCTTTACTGACTGTGAATCAGCAATAATCCACATTTCATGAATTTCCATGGCCAACACATTTATCATCTCATGGGCCAACTTTGTGGTAATGAGCCTCTTTCTATACTTAGGCTAGTCCTTGGATAAAAGTCATATGGTCCATTACAAGGACTTTACTTGAAGCTTTTCTAACTTGATCGATCTAGCAGAGTAAACCAGAGTAAATCAGCCTTTAAGGAAATTGCAGCCTTTTAATTTTTGACAGGAGTACTTATCTTCATTATGCAATATACAAAATAAATATGAACCAGTTAAACTGGTCTACCAGCTATTTCCTGAACTCAACATTCTACCTTCCATTTTCTTGTACATTTATATAAACCACTTACCATAACTAGGATATTCTCCCTCTTCACTCCACCTCTTAGAATTCTTATATTCCTTCAAGTCTAAGGTCAGGTGCCATCTCCTACATGAAGCCTTCCCTGATACACCTCTCTCAGCTATTAGTCTCCTCTCTGTGTATTAAAGTAATGTGCTTGTAGACAGGAAGATCTGACTTCAAATCCTGCCTCAGATACTTATCAACTTTGTGACCCTAGGTGTGTCACTTAACCTCTCTCAGACTCAATTGTTTCATCTGCAAAATAGGGATAACAACAGCACCTATCTCAAAGAATTGTTAGGATCAAATAACATATGTTCAATGCAAAAGTACTATATAATTGCTAGCTAGTATTTATCTACAAACATGTTGTTTTTCCCCAATTGAATATAAACTCCCAGATGTCCAGGACTATTTTATTTTTTTACTTTGTGTCCCCAACCCCAATCAGGTATTAGGTACTTAATCAATAGAGTCATAGATTTAGAATTTAAAGGGAACTTAGAGGCCATCTGGTCCCACTCCCCCATTTTTCAGATGAGCTAATTGAAGCCCAGGAAGATGAAGAGACTTGCCCAAGGTCACCCAGGTAGTATCAGAAGCAGAATCTAAACCCAGGGCCTCTGACTCCCAAGCCACTGTACCGAACTTCCTCTATTGGATAATTCAATTATGCATTTATTAAAGACTACTATGTACAAGGCACAGACACACAGTACAATAGAAAAGATAATTCAATTTGGAAACAGAAGATGAGTTTAACTTCTAGCTGTAGAAATTTGGATATCATTTAGCCACTTTGGGCCTCAGTTTCCTCATATATAAGATGAGGGGATTGGACTACATCTCTAAAATGTATCTCAGCTCTAAATGTAAAGAGGGATGAGAGGTGATTCCTGCTTCAAAAAGCTTACAATAATAAAGGAAATAAGTGAGGCACACAAGTAACCAATGTATATTAGGAAGGGATAAGTGCCTGGGAGAAATAGAGATAAAGGGAGACACAAGGTAGAAGAGAAAGTCTCTACTTTGAGGAATGTGGGAAGGCTTCATGTAAGAGATGGTATCTGAACTGTTTCTTGCAGAGTGATTAAGGATTTCAATAGGCAAAGAGTGGGAAGAACAGCATTTCCAGTATGAGCTGAGGCATGGGGGTGGGAGAGGATAGAGTGATTTTTGGAAAATGGCACAATGGCAAAGCTATTGGCTATTTGGAAGTTAGATAGCCCTAGGGCAGGGGTAGGGAACCTGGGCTTTGAGGCCACATGTGGCCCTCTAGGTCCTCAAGTGTGGCCCTTAGACTGAAACCAAAATGAAACAGAAACAACCCTCTGGGAAGAACAGGTAAGGGGTGATTTCTTGAGTCTGGGTACTCCCTTCAGTGAAATAGCTCCAAATTCTTGCACCTATATTTTCATAAATTAACCGTAGAAACATATTATCTATTTTCTCTTCTATAAACTTGGACAATTGGATTAGATGGTATCTAAAGTCCATTTCACTGTCAAATTCTATGATCCTACGACTATCCAGTAAGGAGCTATTTCAGCAAAGTACTATTCTGAAAGACAATGCAGTTTCTGACTGTGCCTGACTTTCCCTAGGGGTCCAAGTTAGATTCTGGGGAAATGTGGTAGGATTGATAAAATCTAGAGCAACATTCCTGAAAGCTGCATCTAAGATTATACCTGCTTCAAAGCCAAAGACTCTGTCTTGCTTTGGATTCCCATGTGATGCCTACTACGGTGCTCTGTACAGAGGGGATGTTCAATAAATGCTCATTAAATAGCCCCTTATCTGATGGATCTGTTGGCATCAAAATATATCTCATCTCACTTGTGGGACAAGCTCTGTCTGATTCTAAGAAAAGGAAAGCTTAAAGGTTGGGGAGAACAAGGATGAAATGGGGCACAGAAGGAACAGAAAAGTGCCTGGTTATTAGAAAGGTAAATAAGCTTTTAGTTAGGAGACCAAAAAGAGAAGAAAGACATATTTCTCATTTTCTCCCCTCCCAATCTAGAGTCTTCAAACATCAGAGCTAAAAGGGGCTGCAGAGAACAGCAAATTTTATGAATCTGAAATCTTAAGAGAGGAAAATACTTGTCCAAGGTGACACAGATAGCAAGTTATGTGGCAAAGCCTGGTATCCTTCCTCCAAGTTCAGCTTTGTTTCTACTATACCATGCTGCCTTCTGTCTTTCAATGGTAATATTCTCCTGGTCATGGAGGTACAAAATCATGGCGTTTTTAAAAATTTAAACTTCCACAAGGTGGGAAAATGTACCTCTCCTTCCCTTCATTGAAAAGGTAGTCTCCAAGTTGGTCTCTGTGCCTCCACTATACTTCCACTATCCTGTGAGATTGTCTTTCTTTAAATATCACTTTCATTAGCCTTGTATAGTGGAAAGAATGCCTCAGCTTTGCTGCTAGCCAAGCATCACAATCTTAGAGAAGTCACTTGTGTAGTCTTGACCTCAGTTTTCCCCATCTGAAAATGGAAATGATCTATAATGGCTCCTGTTCTGAAATTTTGTCATGTCCTTCCATTCACTGGATCAAAAGCTTTCAGTGGCTTTCTGTTCCTTACTGATCCAGTTTAAAGGCTACCACATGTTTTTTCAAGATATTCGCTCATGTTGTTTCTCTCCCTTGGAATATCCTTTCCATTCCTACTCTCCCTCTTACTCATTGGAATCCTATTCACTCTTCAAGCCCACTCCCACTTCTCCATTGAATTCCTTTTCGTGTGATTTTCTTCACAGAAGGAAATGAAATCTAGAGGGGAAATAAAGTGTCCTCATATGAAGTTTCCTTATATATAAATTGAGAGAGTTGGACAAAAGGATCTGTAAAGACCTACATTCTATCATTAGAACAGGAAATATTATATGATAAAGTGCTAATTTTGTGGTATGAGCAGGAAGATTTTTCTTTTTACCCTACAAAGTTAGGAAATGTAGAGAATAGTATGAATGTCCCAGAAAGTTTCATGGACTACATAGATCATGAATTGGATTTTTAAGAAGGGTAGAATGTGAGAAGATGGGAGTTGAGAGTGGATAACAGAAAGAAACTTCATGAACAAGAATCAGAAGAGGGAAAAATAAACATGGTGTATAAGGGATACATTTTGTTGCATGTAGTAACTTCTCTTTACAGAAGCCCTGATGATGTAAAATCTGACATAGGTTTATAGTTCCATTCCAAAGCCTGATGGGTAACTCATTTAGAATATAAGCAGGCCTTGCTTATCGTGCTGTGTGTTTCTGGGAGCTGTGTTGTAAAATGGATTGTGGTAAAGGAGATCATATTTTCCCAAGTGGAAAATACTATAACAAGGAGTTGTCCAAGGACTCATCTTCAAAAGAATCGTGGCTGTGTCATAAAAAGCAAATATGTAATAGCTATAAACCTCCATAATCATTTAGAAATAGTAAAATTTTACCATAGTCATATAAAATGGCCACAAATGCACTGTACATATTGATCATTATGGGGGCCCTACTGTGTGATAAAGTGCAGAGACAACCCATTATACTGCATCTATAATCTATCATAAATGTGACTTAAAACACATATGTTAGCAATAATCAACCCTAAACATTTAATAACCATAATTGACCTTGTCCAGAGCATCATGAAGATTCTGGTTTACTTGTTTATTGTTGCCTTCTTAGAGGTTAGAAAGGCTTTTGTGGGTGATTTGTGTAGTTCAAATGAATTTCTCATTACTCAATGAAATTGAGCACACATTTATTAAGTACCTGCTCTTCACCAGATGCTGTGCCTAGCACTGGAAATATAAGGATGAAAACAAAATGGTCCCTATTCTAAAGGGACTTACACTCGAGTAGGGAAAGCAACATTTAAATAGAAAATTACACTCAGAATACATAGAAAGGAAATGTGAGGCACGTACATTCTATGTAGAGAGTGTAACAGGTACACAAATACATAAATAGAAAGTATATGCAAAGGAATATAAGCAAATTAAAATAAGAAAAGAGTACTAATGGGGAAAGGGGAGGAGGAAAGGCCTTGGCTAGGAAATGGCACACTTGAATTGTGCTTTGAAGGAATGGTGACATATGACAAGATGGAGGATGGGAATACCACAAGATGAGGAAATGCATTCCAGATATGGAGGGCCACTTGTACAAAATTATGGCATGGTAGATGTATGGGAGAAGTGAAAGCAAATTTCAGGAAAGTCAATTAGTCAGTCAACAAGTATTTATTAAGATCCTACAATGATCTGGGCACTGAGATAATTTAGAGTTCATATGTTCTTTTTCCTTTCATCAATTTCTCTGTAATGATGCATTATTGTTTATTTTTTAAATTTTTTAAAATTTATTTTTAACATTTAAAAAAAGTTTTGAATTCCAGATTCTCTCTCCAGCCTGTCCTCCACCCACTGAGAAGACAAGCAAT